CACACACACACACACACACACACACACACACACACACACACACACACACACACACACACACACACACACACACAACACACAAAACCAGAACACATATGTCTATATGGACTATTTCACAGATTCTGTTTAGCGCCGCCTACCAGAAGTAGCGTGCAATGGTTTGTGGGATTGTTTGGGGGCAAATAAAAGAAAAGTAAACGATGGGACAGGTTATAAAAGTTTAAAGTTGTGATTGTTGCACATTTTAAAATGTTTATTTTGGTTCATCCAGGACTTTTACCTGCTCAACTGTTGGAATTAGTGCCTAAAATAGCAACCTGGAGATACAAAATATAGGGCTGTGTGAAACATTTACACTCTTAGTAATGTAGTAATTACTATAGTATGGCACTATATTAAATCTATTGCCAGAGAAAATCACAGTATGAGCAGTGGGACTGGGTGAAAAACATTTAATATTATCTTGAGGCAGGCTGACCTATGATTTATTAAATTCTGAGTATAAAACATCCTTCTTGGCCACACATCAAATTTGGCTTAAATATTAATTAAAAATATGTTTTTGTTTAAGTGGTAAATGTATTTGTTATTGTGATCTGTAGCTTTCTGTATTGTGTATATTATTGCTAATATTAAACCGTACACCATGTGGTCAAGTTTTTTTTAGAAAGTTCATTATAGAGTAACGTAAGACAACTAGAGTGTGCACTACCTATCTCATCCATTGCTTACGTTTGTGACATCGTGGAGAAGCTAAAATGGTGCCCTGACAAAACAGCTATTTAGTTAACAGCAAGCCCAACTGTGTCACAAATTATATTTAATTTCTTTACAGAAACTTATTATTCATAATTAATGTTAATTTCATACTCTAATAATATGAAGTGGCTAGATGTTATATAAGGGAAATACGTAGTTTGTAAGTACTGATGATCTAAAGTCAGTCAGTAACTTGGACTTTTTAACTAGTTGAATAATTATGACTTCAACTATTTGATGAATTTGCAACTAACATTTTTACCATGCAAACTGTGTGGACTCTACTACAAGAGTTGCAGCTACTTGCAGTGATCAGTGTCAAACTATAAAATGTAATATATACCTATGCTTAAAAAGTACATTTTCAAAATTCATGCAGAGATTTTACATGCAGGCTTGTACTGTTTGATCATTTGTACTGAACTGAATTGTAGCAGTAGCATAATTCAGCATAGTGCTACATTTTGTAAAGCAATATGTGCCACAGAAGCTAATAATTTACAGTGATTACGTCAGTTTTAAAGGCTACTTTCAGATGTTTTAGCCATATCATCCAACCCTTTTTTAAGTGAAGAGAAAATAGACAGAGAGAAAAAAAGAGAGAAGTAATTAGAAAGATAGAAAGATTGAAATAGCGATTAGAAGTATATTAAATATACACCAACAAAACACAGGACCACACACCCAACATCTGTCCGCTCACCTGAAAAATAAATGGATAAATACATGGAGGGCATATATAAAACTATACACATACCCATACATATATATAAAGATATACATACTGTACATACATACATACATACA